TGAGAAGACTGCAGGGCATGAAGATTGAGGGGATACAAAGCAGCAGAAGAAAGATCACAGGACCATGCGATAGGGGTAGTCTCCATGGGAGACTCAACACGGGCAGACTCGGTATGTCGTTCCTCAGTGCTGACCAGAGGGCAGTGGTGATCCCACCACAACTCCAAGGTGCAGTCTGTACTCCCCAGCATTTGTTCACCTTAACCTGCCGTGCTCAGCATATTTCTCGGAAATTTAAGCGCTAAAAACTGGCTAATGGAAACATTTTAAGTAAATGGAAAGTGAAAGAGAATTGCTATATGTAGCTGAAGGGGGGAGGGGCTCAGCAGGGTCACACTTGAAACTTCAAATCCAAGCTCACAGTACTGTATGTAAATCCCGAGTAAATTGGAGGATGAAACCGAAACACTGGCAGCTTAGCAGAGGAAGTCCTAGGGTGCTGGAGGAAAGATGGAGCCTTTCTCAAACAGGTGACAGTATCCCGTTTTCAGTTCCCTTCCTGTAACTCAGAAATGTGATCGAAGAGAACCAGGGACCCAGATCTGACATCTCTGACTGAGCCTTCAGTGTGAGTTCATGACCTCAACCCCGCCATCACACTGCTTTCAAGGTCTATTCCTGAATCCGGGTTTAAAAGGCCAGGACGCGGCTTCCTCCTTCAAAGGAGTTGGGGAGCTGCGCGGGACCCCTTTGTCCAGAAGTCCCAGAAAAGACAAGAGGCTGGCGGACAGCGATCACAACCAGACAGAAACCTTCAAGAGACTCCCAGGGCAGAACCGACAACAGGCGGCAGGGGAAAGGTCAGGGGGCAGACAGCAGTGGCGAGGACAGGGTAGCACCGCGCTAGGGTGCAGGGAGTCGGGAAGGTGATCCAGCAACACCACGGCCACAGTGCGCCCCGACCTTCCACTTCCAGGGTCTCCCCGGACCCGCCTCGCTGCCTACCAGTCGGTCGGGGATTTCTCATTGACCACGCGCACGTAGGCTTCCTGCAGCGCCGGCCCGTTCCGGCTCAGGTTCACCGCCATGGCACGCCCCACGGTCCCAGCAATTCTACAGCCTCAGCTCTCCACCGGCCTCCACTGACGACCGGAAGCTCCGCCCCGATGGCCGGAAGCCTCGCCTCTGACGTGCGGAAGCCGCGCCCAGGAGGGGAAGCGGAAGTAGAGGATTTGCGAACTAGTTTGCCGGTAAAATTGAGGTAGGATGGCTATTGGTGAATTAGAATCCGAGAGAGGCAGGCGGGGCCTTGTGTCCTCGTCCGCAGTCCTCAGGGCGTGGCTCCGAATCGAGCACCGCACTTTTTCTTATTCTTGTTTTAGTTGGTATATTTTGTTTGATAGTAGATTCCCAAGTCGCTCCGGAAGAGTAATCCTGAACCTATGTGTGCACTCGCGCCTCAGAAATTTAATCTGATAGCTGGTGCGGTAGCGCACCCCTTTCACCCCAGCACTCGCGAAGCAGAGGCAGGTGATCTTTAAATTCAGATTAGCTTGGTATACAGACCAAGTTCCAGGACAGCCAGGGCTACGCCGACAAACCCTGTATGGAAAAAAAAGAAAAGAAATTTAATCATCAGTATCCCGCGTGATGGTATGCGCCTGTGATCCTAGCACTCAAGAGGCAGAAGCTTGAGTTCTAGATCGGCTTGGGCATCATCTACATCATCTAAAATAGAAATTAAAAAATAAGCTCGATAGTGGGATAATAAAGAGAATCTGCTTTGTGGTTCAACTCTAGTTCAAAATTAGTTGCCTGAACTTCTTTATGATGGATCATAACCTATAACTGTAAACTAAAATAAAGCCTTTCTCCTCTCTCTCTCTCTCTCTCTCTCTCTCTCTCTCTCTTTTCTTCCTTTTTCTTTTTTTTTCTTTTTTCTTTTTTCTTTTTTTTTTTTTTTTGAGATAGGGTCTCTCTGTAGCTTTGGAGCCTGTCCTGGAACTAGCTCTTGTAGACCAGGCTGGTCTCGAACTCACAGAGATCCACCTGCCTCTACCTCCCAAGTGCTGGGATTAAAAGCGTGCGCCACCACAGCCCAGCTCCCTTTCTTCTATAAATTGCTTTTTGTCAGGATATTTCATTTCTCTGTCACAGCAGAGAAATGAAAGTAGAAATTACTACACTTAAAATGTTGCAAGAATGGGACGGTGGTGCTGGTGGTGCCGGTGCTGATGCTGGTGGTGCTGCTGGCGCTGTTTGTTCTGGTGCTGTTGATGCTGGTGGTTCTGTCTGGTGCTGCTGGTGCTGGTGGTGATGCTGGTGCTGGTGGTGCTGCTGGTGCTGGTGGTGGTGCTGGTGCTGGTTTGTGCTGGAGGATGGTGCTGGTGGTGATGCTGGTGCTGGTGGTGGTGCTGGTGCTGGTGGTGATGCTGGTGCTGGTGGTGGTGCTGGTGCTGGTGGTGCTGCTGGTGCTGGTGGTGCTGCTGGTGCTGGTTTGTGCTGGAGGATGGTGCTGGTGGTGGTGAGATAGCTTGGTGTTTAAGAGCACTGGCTGCTCCTTTAGGGGACCCAGCTTCAATTCCCAGCACCCATATGGCAGCTTACAACCTGTAACTCCAGTTCTAGTGTGCTTGCTGCCCTACTGCCCTCTTCTTGTCTCTGCTGACACCATGCATGGACATGGTGCACATCACACAAAGGTATAAAAATAAAATGGGTGTGAGGGAGGCAGAGGCGGGTAGATCTCTATGATTTTTGAGGCCAGTTTGGCCTACTCAGTGATTTCTTGGCTAGAAGTGAGACCCTGTCTCAAAAAACAGAAGTATTAAAAAGAAACTTCAGCGCTATTTAGCAAACCCAAATCTTTAAAAGAGGTAACATATGTTGTATGTGTGGTACATGTATATGGGTGGGGGTGTATGCATACTTATGTTGTCTGTAGAGGCCAGAGGGCAATGTCAAGCATCCTGCTCTTTCATTCTTCACCTTATTCCTTCGAGGCAGGTCTCTTACTGAGCCTGGAGCTAGGTTGGTGGCCAGCAAGTCATAGGATCCTCCTGTTTCTGCCTCCCCATAGTACTGAAGTTATAGACACACAGCGCCAAACTCAGCTTTTAAAGCAGGTTCTGTTTTTTTTTTTTTAAATTTATTTTTATTTATTTATTTTAAATCAGGTTCTGGGTGTCTGAGCTCAGGGTTTCAAGCTTGTGAAAAAGTGCTCTTTCCCACTGAGCCAGCCCCTTAGCTCCCGCTGTCATTTGTTCTTCAGGAATCACTTAAACCAGTGGTTCTCAGCCTTCCTAATGCTGCGACCTGTTAATACAGTTCCTCATGTTGTGGTGACCCTAAGCATGAAATTATTTTGATGTTATTTCATAACTGTAATTTTGCTACCCTCATGAATGGTAATGTAAATATCTGATATGCAACCCCCAAAGGGGTCTCTGCTTACAGGTTGAGAACCACTGACTTAAACCACGCATCTCTCTGATCTCTATGGTCCACTGGGGACAGGAGGGGGGGATCATATTACTCCATGATGGCTTTCAAGATCTGCTGTTCAGTTACTGACCAAGGTCTGAACTTAGTAGCATCTGTAGATGTGGGTGACACAGGACCAAGCACACCACGGTTGTCTTCAAAATATGGCTTTTGACTCAAGAGCCTATTCCACAGGTTGAACTGGGAGCATGACAAATAGGTGGGCCCCCTTCTCAATGGCAGAGAATCCAAAGGATTGAGCGCAAGACTGCTCAAGCACAAGACTGCCTGAGCACAAGTCTGCCCAAGTCGTATGAAGCTCATTTTAGGGTTCCAAAAATTAGTAATTTGCACTGGGAACATCAAAGGGCTCGTTTTACTTTTTCTACTTGTTTTCCAGCAGAGAGGACTCACTTGGGGATACTCTAGATCTAGAAAAATGGATGTTTGCTTGGAGTTATAAACTACTAAACTTGAAAGACGAACATTTAGATGCTCATAGCCTTAACACCATGTTGTGCCAGGACTTTCCTGTCTGCCTGCCTCTGATATGAAACTATGTCCCTTTGCTGGCTGAGTTATCATCTACAAAGTGCTGTGTTCTACTGAGCTGAAGTGCACATGGTGTTACAGCTTGGGAGAGAAGATGTGGTAGCAGCCTTGCAGAACACTTCAGTAAGAACATTCTTTCCCCTAACATTTAAGAAACAGAAACTTAAAGAGTAATACCCAGCAGGGTGAGAAGGTGAGAAGCAAGAAAGCCCAACGCCCCAAAGGCTGTTAACTACAGAGTGGTATGAATGGGCTCAGAATTGTACTCACTGGCATTGGTTAGCTTCTTTTTAGGTAGTCTTATGTGGCTGAGGCTGGCCTTGAACCTCTTTCCTCCACTTCTCCTGCATGCTGGGATTACAGGTGTGCACAGCCATGCCTGGTTACTTGTTTTCAGAGCAAATCAATCTCCCTTGGCTGATCCTCAAGTGTTAGGTCAGCAGACTTCTTCCTCCTTGCCCTCATAGGCCTCACCTGGTTTGGGATGGCATAGTTTTTCTCATCTCTCCCTGTTCTGATTCACCAACCATTACTGTCTGGGAATAGACCAGCTTTATAACCAATTCAGAAGACAAAGTTAAGGCTAGGTGTCCTGGATACACCTGTTAGCTCGCAGTGCTTAGACCAGGGCGAATGATTTCTAGTAAAAAAAAAAAAAAAAAGCCCTCTAAAGAAACTCCTTAGATCTCTTCTCTCTTTGTAGTCCTTTCTAGAAGGTTCTTTCCTAGCCAGATGTGGTAGCATATGCTAGTAAGCTCAACTTTCAGAAGACTGAGACAGGAGGAACCAGAATTCAAGGCCAGCTTGAGCTATGTAGCAAGACTGTCTTCAAAAACACATTTCACACACATGGATGTGCTCGCTCTTGCTTTTTCCTAGGTAACTAATCTCAGAGCCCTGTACTCTTAAGAGCAAACCTTACTCCATCAGAAAGCCCACAGAGGAAGCCAAGCACTTAAGGCCTATTCAAATCTCTGGAGAACCTGCTAATTCTGTCTGAAAGGAGAAAAAAATGCCAGTTGTCATAGTTCTGAAGGAATTTCATTTTTATTTGCATTTGAAGTTCCTCTCCTTCCACGTGTTCCAGTCTGTGAATGTCTTATGCTTGAACTTCTTGTTAGGTTCCCAGTGGGAGAAGAGTGGGGAAAGCCTCAGCACCTACAAAAGCTTAACCCCACCTCTCTGTCTGACGTCATCCTCCTGGGGTGTTCCGTGCTTTATACATCCTGATGTTCCCCACGTGCTGTGGGTGTGAGGAGAGGAATGCAGCACATAGCACTACAGAGGGCAGAGGTGGAAGACAGCAGAAGCACTCTCACGGATTGCCCTTCCAGTTCCCAGGAGCTCCTGAGGACATGGTTCTGTGGCAGACAGAGTGTGAAGAAAGCCCACTCTGCCCTGGGCCCTCAGGATAGCACTGTGTTCTAAAGGCAAAGGCCATGTTTAGGGAACAGACTGGGTGGCACCATTTGAGGACAAGTAGGGGAGGCATGCATGGCTTGATTCCCCAGAGACAGGCAGTGACAAGGAAGACTGTAGATCATAAGGATGGTTGCTGATTTGGCATCAAAGGTGTGATACTGTCAAGGCCACAATGGCTGAAAGTGGCACCACCAACATGCTGCAGCCAGAGGAAGCGAGTGGCCAACTCGCGTGTGAACGGAGGATGTTCTGTGAGTGCCTTAGCCAATAGCTCAGAGCTTCACAGGAAGGCCACTCTGCCTGGCAAGCTTCTCTTGGACAGTGTCTCCCATGGAGCCTTCGAGGCTCTTACATAGCATATTTCTGTGTCCACTCTCTTGCTAGTCTGTTGTATCTGGAAGACAAAATCAGATGGAGCAACACCCTCACTTGAAATGTTATCCTTTCAATGTGGAGTAGAGCACATGAGGGGGTAAAGCTGCCACTTGTCAGGCATCTGGGACTGATGGATAAGCGAAATAAAGGCTTTCTCTGGAACAGGACTTCGGTTATGGGTGTAACCCATTAGCGTGGTGTTTCCTGTTGCTCCTCCATAACTACCTGTGGTGGTTTGCAATAATGAAAACCTAATCTTTTCTCTCCCATGCCCTTCATTATGAATGAAAGATGTGGAAGGAGTTCAGCTTGGAATATTCCAGGCTGCCTGGCACACAAACTCCAGAATGCTGGCATAGTCTGAATCCACGTGACCTTCTGTAGCTGGGTCACCTCTCTGTGAATGGCTTATCACATCCCTTGACTGTTTACCTTGAAACATAAAACATCGTCTGCTTTGTGGGGTTGCAGGGAGACGGCCCCGTGTAAAGCTCCCAGGCCACACCTGGTACCTAGTCGGGGCTCTGTAGGTATCTGCACTTAGCTTCGTACTGCAATGAGAACTGATGCCATACATACAGTAGTAAACTAGAAATGAGAAAGCATCTCACACCAAACATTAAAATAAATACAGTTTAAGCTGGGCACGGTGGTGTACTACTATCCTAGCACTCAAGAGGCAGAGGAAGGTGGATTTCTGTGATCAAGGCCGGACAGGGTTACTCAGTGAGATCCTATATCAACATCAAAACAAACAAGCAAAAACTTCAAAATCCAGTCAATTCAAATTCATTGAATTTGGTACTGGGAAACTTCACTAAGGAAATCAGATTTATAAAAGCCTCAAGAAGCTTGGCAGTGGTGGCATGCACCTTTAATCCCAGCACTTGGGAGGCAGAGGCAGGTGGATCTCTGTGAGTTAGAGGCCTGGTCTACAGAGTTAGTTCCTGTAACAGCTAGGGCTGTTACACAGAGAAACCCTGCTTAAAAAAACAAATGAATGAAAGAATGAATGAATGCCTCAAGAAAAAAGGCTTGAAAAAAATCCCTTTATATCCTAATCTCTTCAGACAAAAGTAACTGATGAACTAAAAAGACTTAATCTTTTGTTTTTTTTTTGTTTTTGTTTTTATTATTATTATTTTTTTTGAGACAAGGTTTCTCTATGTAGCCCTGACTGTACTGAACTCACTCTGTAGACCAGGCTAGCCTTAAACTCAGATCCACCTGCCTCTGCCTCCCTAGTGCTAAGGTTAAAGGCGTGCACCACCACTGCCCAGTTTTTTTTTTTCTTTTTTGCTATCTTTTAAAAGTTAGTTTATTTCATGCGTGTTGATGTTTTGCCTGCATGACTTGTGTGAGGATGCCAGATCCTCTGGAACTGGAGTTACAGACAGTTGTGAGCTGCCATGTGGGTGCTGGGAATTGAACCCTCTCCCAAAAAAATAAACCCAAACCAGACAAACAAACAAACAAACAACAACAAAGAGCACTGGCTTCTCTTTCTAGAGGACCCAAGTTCAATTCCCAGTACCCCATGGCAGCTCACAACCCTGTGTAACTCCAGTCCCAAGGGAGTCAATGTCCTCTTCTTGCCTCTGCTGGCACCACATATGCACATGGTGCAGGCAAAACACCCACACACATATAAATAAAATCTAAAAGAAGAAAAAGGTTTGGATCTAGCGCCACACAGTGGGCCGTGCCATCAGTAGGTCTGCTGCTTGGGCTCTGGCACCCTTGACCCCTGCTCAGAGACTGCATGTGCTCTAGCATAAGGCTGTACCTGGCCAAGGAGGGGAGCCCTACAGTCCTGGGTCTACCTGGTGTGGAAACAGCTGGCAGTGAGGGCAGGTGTGCTAAATTGCAGCCACCACTCTGAACTTCTAATCTTCACAGCAAGCTAACCTTGGCAGTGCTGCCCACCCTGACTGGCTTTAGCCTCATTCTGGGGATTTCCAAGAAGACAACCCCCTTATTTTATGTCATAAACCTTGTAATTTAATCCAGAATTTCCTTGTCATATTCTTCTGGGTCCTTTGTTGACTGACCACTGACTTAGCTGTCCTCAGGTCAGGGCTTGACAATATTTTAGGATTCAGCAATGACAGTTGATAAGTTATCTGGAAGGGCAAAGTGCTTTTATCCCTTCTCCCTCCTCTGAGCCAAAGGATGTGTTAGGAAGAGCCAGGAGGCTAAGCCCAGGGCACACCTGCATACACTGCATTCATGGGCTTGGCTTGGGAGGAAGATGTCCGTGGGAACTGGGGGCAGTTGCACACAAAGCCAACCCAAAGAGGATGCATACTTCTCTCTGTCGGCCTTGTAGGTGTGGGCTATTTCTGGCACCAGTGGGTCATCAGGGTTGGGGTCGCAGAGAAGAGAACAGATGGACAAGAGAACTAGGAAGAAAAGAAAGCGTCAGTCAGCGGGGGCCATGGGCCTGTGGGTCACATGTGGGTCCAGCGAACCTCCTGAACTGCACTTCCTGTTTCCCCCGAAGCGCTCCAATTTGATGATTCTGTTCAACTCATGATATTTGCTGTTAAAATACCAGCATGCTGCACATCGCAGGGTGGTTCCAGCACACTGTTCTAGGACACCACCTTCCGCTGTGGTCCGAGACTTTACCTCCCTACTTCACAGAAGCCCCTGAGGTCTTAGTTCTCACTCTCCCAAAACCCTCTTCTGTGCCCATCCCACACACTGACAGTGCTCCAGACGTCTTTGTTTAGTGGTAGGAAGACAGGAATTCAGAATCTTGAAGCTCGACTGAGACTCTGAACCAGGACTGCAAAGCCAATGCACCTTCCTACTGCGCTCTCCCGTCAAGGGCCTTGCGCAAAGAAGTTATTTACCAGGGCCTGCTAAGGAGCAGATAAAACTTTGAGAGCTGTATTTGTGCTTTGCCCTAAATCTACCATGACTCAAAACAAACTGGCTTCACTGAGTCCAAAGTCCTGACAACAGTTTCCTACTGATGGGAAGAGTGGGTCCCCTTTAGTGAAGAGATTCAATTCTTCTAATGTTCTAAAAGTCTGCCACTTGAGGGCTGTGAGCTCCCTCCACATCACTCAGGCTGCCTGCCCTTTCTAAGAGCCCCTTGCTGCTGTTCTCCTTTCCCTTCCTTTCTGACTCTGATGGCGGCCCCTGACTTTCCTGGACAGTGGGATAAGGCTGTCTACCCGAGGAACAACCCAGAGAAGAGCCATTTTGGCAGAATGTTGGCCTGTTTCCTAGATGTGTCAGTCTGACAGAGTCCACTGTGACTCTGCACAGCACAGAGGTAGTGGCTCTGTCCTGAATTTACCATATCCATCTCTGCAGGTCTTTTCTAGCATCTAAAGCCTGTCCTGCCAGTTGTCCCACGCAGTTTGGAGCCTCTCCCAATGTCCAAAGCTCAGCCATTTGCTTTGCCTATGTCCCACTCATCTGGGGGTGGGGGTAGGTGGCTTATTGTACCACCTACCCATACCCAATCTTAGTTCAGGAGTACTTATAGTTCTGTAGCATGGTTTAGATTGGATTGTTTTTTTTTTTTTTTTTTTTTTTTTTGAGAGAGGATTTCACTGTGTAGTCCTAGCTGTCCTGTAGGACAGGCTGGCCTTGAACTCACAGGGATCTGCTTGCCTCTGCCTCCCAAGTGCTGGGATTAGAAGTGTATGCCACCATGCCCGGCTAAACTGAATTCCTAATCTCATTCACAACATGCTCATTATCACTTGTTTTGGGAAAGGAAAGTTTCCTCACAGACTCTTGAGATCAGGTTCTGTATCTGTCCTTTCAGAGATGACTCACAGTCTGTGTTGGTCCTCCTTGGACGAATGAATGAAGGAGAAGTTAATATTTGTCTTTTGACTTTTGGGTGAAAAATGCAAGTAGAGTTGTCTTCTTGTACCCACTTGGCTGTTTTGAGCATCACACAGCTACTGACTGCTGAGAACCACTAGGGCACAGGTACGGTGTTTTACATGCCATCTCCTTACAGGGTGGAGAATGAGGTGGCACAGAACTGGGCGGGGCTTTGTGATCTGGGGAAGTCGTCTGTCCTTCTTGCGTTTCCATGTACACTAGTCAGCAAAGGGGTAAAAGTACATGAGACAGGCAGGCATGCTGAGTACATGTCAGTGTCTCTACCTTTGGACACAGTCAATGCTGGGGACCACTGTGACCTCAGGATGTCCAGGCAAATGCTGCCACTGCTGTTTATATTAGGGTGATAGATTTTGGTAGTGAAAGCAACCTGTAAAAATAAGACACCAAGTCAGATAAGCCAAAGGAGATCTGGAAAAGAATCCAAGTGAAGAGCTTTCGGCAATCACCCATCCCAGCTCCTAAGGGGGCAAAGGCAGGCTGCTCCAAGAGAAGTACCCCAACCCATTTCTTGCTGGATTCTCATTTTGAACATGGGGAACTGATGCCAACTTCCCTATACATTGTGCTGTGAAGAATAACAAGCAAGGTGGTAGAAAGAACCCAAAGCCCAAATATCTACGCAAAAACCAACTTTAATTATGTTTATGATGAGCAAACGGTCACCATAAGACACAGCCATAGCCGGGCAGTGGTGGTGCATGCTATTAATCCCAGCACTCAGGAGGCAGAGACAGGTGGATCTCTGTGAGTCTGAGGCCAGCCTGGTCTACAGAGTGAGTTCCAGGACAGGCTCCAAAGCTACAGAGAAACCCTGTCTCGAGAAAACAAAAAAAGAAAAGAAAAGAAAAAAAAAGGGTGTTACTATGTAGCTCTGGATGTCCTGGAACTCACTCTGTAAATCATGCTGGCCTTGAACTCAGACACCCCCTCCCCCTGCCTTGGCTCTTGAGTGCTGGGATTAAAGGTGAGTGCCACCACTACCCAGCTGTAGGGCATTTTCTTGATCAACGATTGGTGTAGGAAGACCCAGCTCACTGTGGGTGATGCCACCCCTGGGCAGCTGGCCCTGGGCTGTGTAAGAAAATAAGCTGAGTAAACCATGAGAAGCCAGGCAGTAAGCAGCATTCCTCCACAGTCTCTACACATGGCCCTGTCTCCAGGTTCCTGCTTGAGTGTCTTCCCTTAGTGTGACCTAAGAGTCATAAGATGAAATAAACCCTTTCTTCTCCGAGGTGATTGGCCATGATGTTTTATCACAGCAGGAGAGACCATAAGACGAGGACTAATCATGAATATCTGCAGTTTAAGGTCCCAGCAGGTTATAGCCATTGTTTGGAACAGCAGAGCATCGGGAGAAGGTACACACAGCTCTCTACCTGTGACACAGAATGTCATCATGAGCTGTCCTTTCATCAAAACGTTATGGGAGTTGTGGGCAGCCTCACCTTTGGGGGCTTGAAAGGATAATCTGTAGGGAAGTGGATGGTCAGGAAAAAAACACCTCCTTGGTAAGGACTGTCATTCTGGAAGGAGGAGACAGGAAACAATCAGTGCCTGCAGGAAACTGACGTAGAACAAGCTGGAGTTGTGCATGCAGCTTTACCTACCGGGCCCATGATGCTCGCCTGCCAGTGGAACACTACAACAAAAAGAGAGATGGCCATGTAAGGGACTCCTCAGCCCAGAGGGTGTGTTCTACTGAGAAGGTGCCACCAAGCTCAGGGCACAAGGCCCACACAGAACCGCTTCATTTCTGACACTGACTACAAGTTTGAGGCTTTGAAAAGCACCCTCAAGCTCCAAGACTCACAAGGACTCCCAGGGACCCCCGGGAGTTACTGTCGCCAGGGTTCAAGGTACTAAAGTGACACAGATGCAAATTGATTTCCTGGCCATCAGGAGCGCTTACGAGCGCGGCAGTGCGAGCCGTAAGCAGACCTCGCCGTGACACGGCTGATGAGGAGCTCTCAGAGACCGAGTGTTAATAGCGCACACATCTTTTTTGGTTAAAAATAATTCTTTTCTTTTTTTCAAGATTTATTTTTATTTTATGTGTGTGGGTATTTTGCCTGCATGTATGTATGTGTACCACACGTGTGCCTGGTACTGAGGAGGCTGTAACAATGTTGGGTTCCCTGGAACTGCAGCTGAAGAGAGCTGTGGATGCACATGGGCTGGGAACTGAGCTCAGGCTCTCTGAAGGGGCAGCCAGTGCTCTTACCCACTGAGCCCTTTCTCCTGCCCGTGACTCATTTACTACACAGGCAGAACTACAACTCAGCGCTCTCTCTGCACAGAATTATGCCTCAGCTAGTCTTCTGCCCCTCTATATGTTGCTGCTGACCAGCCTTTTCTGCTCCCCAGTTTTCCCCTTGATTCATTTTGAAGCTCTTTTCAGAGAGTCTCTTTCAGGCTGTGGGGCCCCTTGGTCACACACATCATCTCACTCAGTGACCCAGGCAGTGTTCTGAGGACTTGATGACTAATCAAGATGAAGCTTTCCTGTTCTTCTCAAGTTCCTGCCCTTCGGCAACCAGACTTCCTTATCAAACCTTCTGTTCTCTCCAGCGTCTCGGGCTGTCTTCCCTGCTCTGCCTGTGTCTAGAGCAGCTCCTTTGAAGGCTCCAAATAGCCACATCCAAGGTTCCAGAGTCCCTCAGGACAATGGACCCCAGAGCCTCTGCAGAAGCCGGAAGCCGTCTTTTCACTCAGGGGTGGCCTTCTGAGTTTTTAGAGGTCTTTATCTCAAGAGGATTCATCTCATATAAATTCATGACAGGTATGAAAATAGGGCCAGGGTTAAGGCCTGGGCTTGTCCTGGTTTTCCTTCACCTGTTCAAATACTCTATCAGCTCAGTCCGTGTCAGCAGGACAGAGACAACACTGTTTAGAACACAAGGACTAAGGAGAAGCTTCCGAAACCCCTTGGCTGCAAAAAGGCAGCCAAGCAGTTCCCAGATCTTCCTCAGTATTTCAATCAAATGCTTACTTACGGTTGCCTGAGCTAATGGAAACATCACTTCTTTAAAGCAATTTTAAAGATTATGGTGGTGTGTGTGGTGCCTCAGCACACACAGAGGTCAGAAGAGGAATGGAGGAGTCCCTTCCTTCCTTTCATCTGTGAGTTCTGGGGAGTTGACTCAGACGTTAGCAGCAAACACCTTTACCTGCTGAGTCACTATGCCTAGCCATTTATTCAACTTTTAAATGTATAATCCAGTGGCATTATATGCATTAATATTCTTTTTGTAAGTTTACTTTTATTTTCTGCATGAATGTTTTGCCTGCAAGTATGTATAAGTACCGTGTGTGTGCATGGTGCCTGCAGAGTCCAGAATAGGGCTGGACTTGGAGTTAAGGATGGTTGTGAGCTATCATGTGAGTGCTAGAAATCAAACTGGGTTCACACTTTATCTATCCAATCACCCGATAGGCATTGGGGCTGTATTAGCTACTGTCCTTATTGCTACAATGGAATACCTGACCAAAGCAACCTAAGGAGGGAGGGAGGGGTTTACTCGAGTTCACAGTTCTGGGGTACAGTCCAGCATGGCAGAGAAGGCAGGGTAGTAGGAGCTCCAGAAGCCGACCACAGCCTCTACAGTCAGGAAGCACAGAAAGGATGCTGATGCTTAGCTAGCTTTCTTCTGATCTATTCTGGGACTCCCCGTGGAATGGTACCACCCACATGTAGTGTGGATCTCCTCACCTAAGCTAATCTGGATTCCTCACAGGCAAGGCTGAGGTTTGTTCCTACAGTGATTCAGTCTAGATTAGCTGCCGTGGGCTGTTCCATTGGATTAGACCCCGCTCTTCAAGAATCCACCCTTCCTCACACAGTTCTGTCACTGTGCTGTCCTTGTACAGTGCAGAGGACTGTCCAGAGACCCAACAGCCCACAACCAGCCTGTGTGAGGTGGCAGAGGTCTGGCTAGAGCTGCTTCTCCAGTCTCCTGTGGAGAAGCGCAGAGGCGGGAGAACAGCCGAGGCAGACAGCAGCTGCCATGCCCTGTCAGTCCTCCGCCAGTGCTCTCACAGGTCCAGTCCTCTTCAGCTAGCTGTGTACCATTTGCAAAGTATCCCATGTCTGATCTGGGACAACCTGTCTTCCTTCTGACTCAGTAGAGAATGATTTCCGACAGTTCAGGCTCCATCTGGAATGTAACCTGACCAGTCACCCTGAGGTGAGCTCAGGATCCCCACTGAAAAAGTACTTCAGGCAGGAGCTTACAGATCTTCACTGTTTAGTCTGCCCACTTTACTGAATTCTGGAACTTTTCCATTCTTCCCTTTCTATTTTTTTTTGATACTAGCCAAAATTAATCCTAAGCATGTTCGAGCTGCCTCTTTTTTTTCTTAAATATTTATTTATTATGTATACAATATTCCGTCTGTGTGTATATCTGCAGGCCAGAAGAGGGCAGCAAACCTCATTACAGATGGTTGTGAGCCACCATGTGGTTGCTGGGAATTGAACTCAGGACCTTTGGAAGATCAGGCAATACTCTTAACTGCTGAGCCATCTCTCCAGCTCTCGAGCTGCCTCTTTTCTGGACTTTTTCACTAGGTCTCTGAAGAATCCAGTCCTCAGCTGCATAGAGGCTGAGCTCCACTGCGCAGCACACACGCACACCTTTCGCGGACTCGGACCTAACAGGTAACTATTTCTCTTCTCCATCTTTCCTCCTGGCAACTGCTAAAATTTACAGTTTGCCTGTCCTGTTGTTATTGTTCCCAAATTATAATACAATGGAGAATGCTCTTGAGCTTCAAAAACAACAAACAAACAAAAGGAATGAATGAAAAGAAAAGCAATCCACACTGGGCAAGGTGGCACATGCTTCCAGCAATCTGGGAGATAAGACAGGAAAATTAAGAGTTTAGGCCAAGCTGAGCTACAATTATGTACTCCAGGTCAATCTCAGCCATCTCAGAACAAACTAACACAAAGCAGTTTATAAGCATGTGAAAGAAAACAATTAGGTTTCTTAAGAACTGTTCAACTAAGGAGAGTGGGAATGAGGTCTGGCCCTGATAACATTGAAGATTTTGGTTACAAACCTTCTGGAATCCTCTGGAAAAATACTCACAGTCATCACCTACAGGTCCTGCAGAACACTGAGCAGGCGGATCCCTCTGTAAGTCAGTCAGTTCCTAGAATACAAGACAGGAGTTAGGTTGCTATAGGCCTAGGGAGCTGCCTCTATCACTGCCGTCCAGCAGAAGGCAGAGGCCTTCGGAGAGGGTGGGAAAGAAGGTCAGGCAGGAGGCTACTCTCAGAGGAGGATACAAATGGCCAAAGTTCATGGTGACAGACTACAGAGATGGCTCAGCAGGTAAGAGCACTTGCTGCTCTTCCGGAAGACCTGAGTTCTCATTCCAGCACCCACTTCAAGGAACTTATAACTACCCTAACTCCAGCTCGAGGGGATCCAACATCCTCTTCTGGCCTCCAAGAACATCTTTACATATGTGACATAGACATACACAAAGAAACACAGACATATGAACAAAATAAAAATAAGCAGAGTTCAAGGTGAGTAGTAGTTTGTATCTAGGAACCAAAGGAACATCAAAATGCGACACCTTGTGGGATGGCTAATCTTGGTGGTCAACTTGACTAGATCTAGAAACAATTAAAATGCAAGCATCTGGGCACACCTATAAGAGATTTTGTTGACTGGATGATGTGAGGTGGGAGGACCCATGCTAACCTGGGCCATACTGTCTGCCCACAGAAAAGGACATAGGAGAAGGAGGCTTTTGCTGTTTGCTTGCTAGTTCTCTTGCTGGCAAGCTCACCTATCCTGCAACCCTTTGCTGGTGGTAAAACCTACTTCTTTGGGATTCCAAGAGACTGAAAACCAGCTGAGATGGCCAGCCTGGTGTTCAAAACAACCACCAAATTCTTTACTTTTCCACAGAGAGACAGTCACTGTTGGACTGGCCAGACCACAGCCTGTAAGCCACGCTACCAAGTTCCATATATATTTTCTCATTCTATCAGTTCTGTTCCAGCTAATACACCATCTGAGAGGGACTTCACACTGTGAGCTATCACACTGCCTAAAAGTACATCCTGGTATTATCACTGGGGAGTCAAGCCTTAGAGACCAGAAAGAAGAACAGCCGAGGAGGTGCCCAATGAAGCATGTTCTTGTGAGCCTATCAAGGGATTCTAATAGACTTTGGACATTTTAAAATGACCTCTGTTCTGTCTTCTTGGATGTCTGTCTAGAGCCTATAGTCCTAAGATTTTATTATAGCTCATGCCTGATCTTGGGGAATGGAATCATTTTCTCTGCTCAGAGGGATCCAGTTTCACGTTTCCCTGATGTTTCTTTCTAGGTACCAGTCAAGAACTTCTTTTCCTCACTACATCTGACTGTTACAAATGGAACTATTAGTGTATTTTCAGGGTCCTTTAGATAGGCCTACCGGTAACCCAACTGACACACTTGATGACCCCAATCAACACAAAGAAGCCAGATAGACTGTCATCCTAGTTCCCTAATGAGAGTTTGGGTTAGTTCTTCAGGAAGGGGAAATGATGAGGCGAGGAGATAGAGATGGGCTAGACAGTTTAGGGGCAGGGATGCCAAAAGCAGCAGTTGTAGTAATGGCCTTGATTCCTTGGCTCAGAACACCAGTAATCTTCCTAACTTGGACACTCTAGTCCAGACATTAATCCCTTCTAGTGAACAGCTATGGAACTGTATCTCTGGATTTTCATGATAGGAATAGGTTTTATTTATTCCCCAATCTTACTTAGCTCATCCCTTAAATGATTTTAGAATTACTTCTTCAAAGGCATTGAGTGTTAATAGTGGCATTGGAGGTCCATTAAGAGAAAGCTATCTCCTGATACAGATAGTGGAATCAACTTTGGGTTTGGATGGAGACCTAATATTACAAGCTACCCAAAATCTAATAGTTAATCCAGTTGGGTGATCAATCACATGCCTCGGACCACAGTTCAGGAAGGAGGATTAACCTAAGGCCAAGCTAAAGTGGTAATAAACAGTCCCTATACTGGCCTAAGTCTGGGCACGCTCTAACACTCTGGGTATCCTTGCTCTTTCTCTGAAGCTCCATACCCTGCCCCATAAGGCTTCTTGTCTGCCATGCAGCTGCTTGCTAGCTGAGCTCAAAGCCTAACGCAAAGGCATGGTTTTGTCTTCCTTCTCTCCATCTCCCTTCTCCTGGCGTCAGCCTATGAGACTAACCATGTGTGTTATGGGGGCAGAGCCAGGTAAGCGAAGCTGCCCAAGCCCTTTGGAGCTTTTAAGACCACGAGTCCCAGAGGTCACACACTGAGCTATTTACACCTCAGAGAGAGGATTTGGGTTTTGTTTCGATTTGATTGTAACTGTGCCCTGGTTCTTCCCTTTGGAATAGAATGTTTGTAACATTTTGATCTTATAGAACTTACAGTCAAGAGACTTTAGGTATTTATTTTGGTTTTAGGGACAAAATTTCCCTGTATAGCCCTAGCTGTCCTAGAACTCCTTCTTTAGATCAAGCTGGCTTTGAATCAGGGATGTTCCTGTCTCTGTCTCCTGAGAACTGGTATTAAAGGCATATCCCACCATGTGGCTTTGACTTTGGCTATTTTAAAGAGAATGAACTTTAAAAACTTTTTAAAATTAGATTTTTTCCATTATATTTTATGTGTAAATGTTTTGCCTCTATGTATATATGTGTCTGGTGACCATGAAGGCCAGAAGAGAGCATCTGGGGCTGCAGAGATGGTTCAGAAGTTAAGAGCACAGGCCACTCTTCCAGAGGTCCTGAGTTCAATTCCCAGTGAGCACATGGTGGCTCACAACCATCCATCATGAGATCTGCGCCCTCTTCTGGCCTGCAGGCATACATGTAGGCAGAACGCTGTATACATAATAAATAAATCTTTAAAAAAAAATAACAAGTGCTCTTAACTGTTATGCCATCTTTCCAGTCTGAGACTGAACTTTTAAAGTTTGAGGGTTGTTTGTTTTTGCTTGTTTTCAAGACAGGGTTTCTCTGTGTAATAGCCCTACCTGTCCTGGAACTCGTTCTTGTAGACCAGTCTGGCCTTACTTACAGAGATCCACCTGCCTCTGCCTTCCGAGTGCTGGTATTAAAGGTGTGCGACACCACTGCCTGGCCAAAGTGTTTGAGTTTTAAAGCCTGTGGGACTTTTAAAAGTTGGAATGGGGGGCTGGAGAGATGGCTCAGAGGTTAAGAGCATTGCCTGCTCTTCCAAAGGTCCTGAGTTCAATTCCCAGCAACCACATGGTGGCTCATCTGTAATGGGGTCTGGTGCCCTCTTCTGGCCTGCAGGAATACACACTGGCAAAATATTATATACATAATAAATAAATAAATAAATAAATAAATATTTTTAAAAAAGTTGGAATGGGAGCTGAAGAGACTGCTCAGTGGTTAAGAGCACTTGGTGTTCTTGCAAGGGACACAGGTTTGATTGCCAGCACCCACATGGTGGCTCACGAACATCTGTAACTCAGTCCCAGAGGATCTGACACCCTCCCTCTTCTGGCCTCTACAGAGCACTAGGCATGCATATGATGCACAGACACACATGCAGACAAAACACCCGTACGCAGAAAACAAAACCAAGTTGGAAATGTGTTTTATATTGTGATATTAATATGAGATCTTGTGGATAAACAAAAAGAAAAATATTATGGTTGAATAGCAATGCATTGGTGTATTAAGTTGACAAAGGGGTCAACTGTTTTGCTTAGATTTTTGTCAAGTTGACACAAGCTAGAATCCTTTGGGAAGAGGGTACCTCAATCAAGCACATCCCTCCATCAGACTGTCCTGTAGACAAGCCTGTGGGCCATTTACTTGATGATAATTGATGGAGAAGAGCCCGGCCCACTGTGAGTGGCGCTGTATCTGAGTACGCGGCCCTGGGGTACATAAGAAGGCAATCAGAGCAAGCCAGAAGGCATACACCAGTAAGCAGCCCTGTTCCATGGGCCCTTCTTCAGGTCCTGCCTCCAGGTTCCTGCCCTGGCTCCTCTGATGATGGACTGCTTAACCTGTAGGTCAAACAAACCCTTTCCTCCCCAAGTTGCTTTTGCTTATGGTGCTTATCACACCAACAGAAATCAGACTAAAACATACCCTGGATCCACTTGCTGGGAAGAATAACTTATGTGATGCTAATGTTAAATGTTAGGATTTATAGGGTTGGAGAGATGGTTCAGTGGTTAGGAGTATGTACTGCTCTTCCAGAGTCCCAGCACCGGCATCAAGCGCCTCACAACCACATGGAACTGCGGTTCCTGAGGAACAGCGCCCTCTCTTAGCGTCTGTGGGTACTTTCATCTATGCGAGCAAAACACCTATACATATAAACTAAAAATAAGTACAACTTCGTCTTGTTTTATTTTCGAGACAGGGTTTCTCTGTGTAGCGCTGGATGTCCTGGAACTCGCTCTGCAAACCAGGTTGGCCTTAAACTCACAGAGATCCGCCTGCCTCTGCCTCCTGAGTGCTGGGATAAAAGGCGTGCGCCACCGTCGCCCAGCAAAGTAAATAAACCTTTTTTTAAAAAAAGTTATAAATATTACTTTGCAGCATAGAAAATTCGAACTTTTAATGCTATATGAAAGTGTGGGTCGCAAAGTACAGCGTAATTCGGGGCATAGTGGCACATGCCTTTATTCCCAGTTCTTGGGAGGTAGAGGCAACTCTTTGACTTCAAGGTTGGCCTGGTCGACCAGGTCAGTTAGGACTGCACAGAGACCCTGTCTCAAAAAAAAAAAAAAAAAAAAAAAAAAAAAAAAAAAAAAAAAAAAAAAAAAAAAAAAAAAAAAAAAAAAATACGGCAAAAAATTTTATTCAGGAAACAAGGGGAAGAGAAAAAAGATAGAAGAAAAAAACAT